GGAATATAAAACCAAAACCCATCACTGATATCAAGGGATTCAGACTGTTGAAAAACTACCTGAGGACATAAAATAGAGAGGATATATACCTAGTTCTATCTGTGATAGATTTTATTACTTTTAACAATGGCCACGTCATTAAAAAAAATGAAAGCATCTTATGACATTGCAAGTATAATAGTAACTGGAAGAATACCCACGGCTCGAAAGATCTTCAGACGGATCAGAGGCATCACAGTGTAAACTGTGTCAGAGCTCATTACAGCAATGACGCCTAGGCAAAGTAATGATAATATAAGGCTGCAGAGCTGCAACTTGCTGTAAGCACGACTTGCCATCGTGCAATATGCACAATTGATAATCTAAGTGAAATCATAAGAACGCATGGTCGGGGGAATACATTGGAGCACATACAGTGGCATAGAACTAAATGTTCATGCCTAATAAAAAATATTATATCGCCTGCACTAAAGGATGACCTTATTGATGATTTTCGGAACAAGAAATATCTTTATAAATGAGTTGCAAAGACTTCATCCCATTTGATAAAATGCTTAAAGATTTTACATCTGAAAAGGTTTATGCTGCATCTTCCACTGGTTCCAGTGAGGATGACAGTGAAGAATTCAATCTAGAGCTTTTGATGTGAAGTGAGTACAATGTTATATTTTATTTGGCATTTTCTGGCATATTTTGGGTAATGTTAGTTAGTTAGTTGGGTTATCGTCATTGCACTCCGGACATGTCCATAGGTGCTCAGATCCTCCCCTCAGTATGAACCCCAACGTCCGATGGCTAATAGTACCAGTTCTATGTTGATTAACAAGTCTTCTGACGTGTCCGGTGTGCGTCTCGTTTTTTGCTGTGCCGATCTTAATTCCCAAGTCTGCCATTCTGGCGAGTGATGTGGATTCACTGCCACCAAAGTCCTCTATCCTTCCCATTTCTCTGAGGGCATTGATAATATCAGCATGATCCATAGGCCGACCGTCGGTAGTGATAGCGGATCCAGCCAACCTGTCAGCTCTTTCATTTCCATCGACGCAAACCATTGGGTAATGGTTTGGCATAAAATGAAGTTTTTTTTTATCTGGCAACCCTGATCGGCCGCCCAGCTGTGTGAGTGTGTGAGGACAAATTATCGCCCCTGGAAAATGGCAGACGCGAAGCCTGTTATTTGTATTTATGCGATTACAATATAATATACATATATAACTGCAAACTTGTTTTCCATGCGTTTCATTTTTGTGTTGCTTTTTTCCGAGGAGATAAACAAGACGGTATATATGCATTCATTGTCAATTATTTTGTAAAATAATCTTTGTATTTTATTTAAGGTTGCTTCCAATTCCATGACGGTGACCGGAGTTGTACAAATCAAGTACAACGTTGTGGTGACTGCCACTCACAACACTTGACACCTAGGCTGTGAGCACTTTGACTTTGACAAAATTCGTTTTGTGTAAATTTGTTTCTTAACCTCAGTTTAAAAGTACGTTCGATGGAACATCAGAACATAGAAATTGAAACTCAAGGATCTTTTTCTTCTTCAGCATTCCGCTTTTGGTGCCCCTAACCTAACTACTTTTGTAGCTTCTTTGAATCCTTATTTATTACATTTCGTTCTTTATTAATTTCTCAAAGAGTAATCCAATTTCGTCCTTTTTAGGACGAAATTTTTTGTCATTTGAAGCCCTACTCTGGCTTTTGCCAGGGGCCGCAATATAGGCAGGCCATACATATGGCCAGATGTCTGAACGCGGTTTCTGAGACCTCTCCACGGCGATCATCATCTGCATGGTGGCACTTTGTGTCATCGGGTGTTTATCGCTTGTGTGATGTCCTGGTGGGGTAGAAAGTCAGTCAGTCATTTCGTTCTTAGTCTATATTTTTCTTCATTTCGTATGTTACTAGTATCATTTAGCCAAATCTGCTATTCCTCACTAATGCTTCTTCACATCAAACCATTGTATCAAACCATTTCTTTCTGTTTATGGTGGACACTAGGTACTTTAGTGAAATTTTTTAAATGCCCTCAACACCAATAAAACCAGCACAGTTAGCTGTAAACAATCTCTTTCCAATGGTACCTCATTTAGCCTTGTATGTCATTTCTGAGCTGAGATATGTAGATGTAGGTTTTTGTGGAGATGAGATGTAAAAAACAGCTGCTAAAACTTGTGTCTGAGAAACAAGAAGTTTTCTCTGCGCAACCAAACTGCGCAACTTTTGTTTTGGCTTTGTTTTCATTGGACAAGATGGCAGACAATTTTTCTCAGACACAGCCACATAATAGCGATTGAATGAAAAATGTCACTGTAAAACGAAACAGCGACAGATAAGAAAGAAATTTTATACACAAATTTAAAATTGGACGGAGAATTCAATTATAACTAGCATTACCATGTCTGGTAATGTTTAAGGCCTTAAAGCCAACCGTGAATACTTGGCGCTATTTTCAATCAAACCGATGTAACAGAAAAACAGAGGACGTCCGGCTGTCATAGACATGCGCTGTTAATCGGGTTCGTTCCCGCCGTTTTCGGCTATTCATAGCTGGTGAAAATCACACCAATCGCAAAATTTCATGAGAGATTAGGACCCATCCCGAAACCCCAGCCGACATTTCCCAAACAAGTTTAAAACGGTTTCCATGGTAATGGAAATTGCCAAAAAGACCGCAAATTGTCAAAACTGTAGTCGCTAGTGGACACACTGAGACATTATTCTGCAGTGGTTTGAATTTAAATCACCCCATATTCTTAATAATATCCATCCAGGGTTGGTCAAACTCTTCCTCGGATGGAATTAAATTTGTAAAATTTCATTTTTATGTTTTAATTCCTCTGCAAATTTCTCTGAAACGAATGTTTCTTTTAAAAATCTTTCTCTATTGTACTCTGGATGTGATCTTTGTACCTTTGTTTGGAAAGATCTGTTTAACTTGAGCTTTGGCTATCCTCAGAATAATGGTCCTAAACTATTGAGACCGAAAATATACCCTAACAGGGCCTCAGTCACATGTAAATTGTGGACTTCTGGCGATTACCGCCAACCGACGAGAGTATCTCCCATGCCGCTATACGCGGCGTGGAGCGGGGCTAAACTAGATGGCTGGGACTCGCGAGCAAATAAAATGAAGGAAGCTGCAGGAGATGTGGTAGCTGCTGCTCGTGAGTCCCAGCCAAGATTTTAAACAGCATATTCATTCCAAAATTAAGCTATGAGTGCCAAATATTGACACTATCTAAAGCCCTTGTACATAAAATTACCACTTGCAAGATAAAATTCCTGAGAAAAGCCCCCCCCCCCCCTCTCTCCAGCCATCTGAGATTGAGTGAATAATGGTACTTTCAGACAGATTAAGGGAAAACACCTTTTACTAGATTCATTGAGAAACAGCAGATCATATGGTTTGACCATCTCGTTAGAATACAGCAAGATCAAATACCATCTTAGTCACTACATCTCATAAGATCAGCTACAAGAGCAGTAAGATGGCCATAAAAAATATGGATCGACAACATTAAAGATACCTATGCATCTACGGCATGACAAGAGGCACTGGCAGCAAGCATGCACTGGATGGCAAATTATTTCTTCCTCAACGCTTAATGGCAGCAGTGGTTTATGGTGATGATGATTTTATGTAAATGCCCAACAAATGTACACAAGCACACACACTTATTTTTCATCAGCTTTCCGAGCCCTTGAGGTCATTGCTGCTGATGTCACCTGCCTCTATTCATCCCTGTTACTCGCTCACTTTTGTTCATTCGTTGTTTGTAGGTCTGCTTGGATATTATTTCTCCACTGTTTTCTGGGTGTGCCTCATGGTCTGTGGTCATTCAGCTCCCTTGTGTATTCTCCTGTCTGGCATCTGCCATTCTCACTATATACCCGAGCCATTGTATGTATGTGTGTAAATAAATATATATATATATATATATATATATATATATATATATATATATATATATATATATATATATATATATATATATATATATATATATATATATACACTCACATATATGTATATATATATATATAGATATATATATATATATATATATAATAGATATATATATATATATATATATATATATATATATATATACACTCACATATATGTATATATATATATATAGATATATATATATATATATATATATATATATATATATATATATATATATATTCTGCCCAGAAAATACAAGTATGTAGGGAAATAAGCAGGCTGAGATTGGCTGTTGCCTCTCCTCAGGTCCCTAATCTACTTTATGATAGAGTGGATGTGCTTGGGCTCTCTGGGATTGGATAAAGAAGCATCAAAGCAGAAAAAGCATCCATGTCGAATGACACTGGTTTGATGGGAAGTATGATAATAATAATTTTATTTTGACATGCACAAGGTGACATATGTGTAGAGAAGAATCACTTGTAATATCTATCTGTGTCTAGAGCTAATAAAAGGAAGCATAAGATGGAAAACATAACCTACCATGAAGTATGCCATGCCATTTGTCATGGGTGGCCAAGAGTGGCTGGAGTGATGTTAACTGCCTCATTCTGTGGACAATTGTAGATATACAATTTTGTCAGTCATACAGTTATGAGAAATATGTTCCTTTCAGATAAGTATGATACTTAGTTTTAAGAGAAAAAGAAAGCAACATTAAAGATGAAATATTTTTCTCTCTCTTTTCTTCTGGAGCGTTTATGGGATTGTCCCAAGTGCTGTAATGTTGTTGGGAGTTCTCCTTTCTGTTAAAATCATAACTGCTCATTGTGATAATTTATGAAGTGAGATTGTCTGAACCTTTTTAATAACCATTGTGATCATTTATGATGTAAGATTGTCTGAACCTTTTTAATAACCATTGTGATAATTTATGACGTGAGATTATGTGAACCTTTTTAATAACCATTGTGAAAATTTATGACGTGAGATTGTCTGAACCTTTTTATTGAATTTGCAGAGAAGCTACAGATGAAATATGCCTCTCTCACCGAGGAAACAAATGCAGTATTCTTCACGGAGTGCACCAGCAGCCAGGCTCAAGTTTCTGGACAATACATGTGACAGTATGGTGCCGGTGCATGACAGCACGGGCGGTAGGTTTCTTCTGATGTTCTTTTCCTTTGTTTTCAGTTTTTATTCTAAGATTTACAGCACCATAGTGCAGCCTCTAGAAGCCCGCCTTTAGATCCGAAGGTCATGGGTTCAGAGGTCCTGATGGAACCAGACTTTCTCCCCAAAATGATCTGAGCTCCCAGGTCGCTCCGGCCTCAAAAGGGGACCAGGTAAAGTCCTGGGAGTAAAGGCAGCTGGCATAATATTGACCACATCACCCACCCATTGGTTTATAAAATAAAGTTCTTGCCCTACATGCCCAGTACGTCTGAAGGTATGGAAAATGGTCAAAAAAGAACATTTACAGAGATATCATGTGAGGGATACTTGCGTTGTTTTTAGCATATGTGTCGGTGTCTGTGGAATTGTGAACATGCTTCGTAATGCTGGGGTGCATGGTTCGATCCCAGCTGCGGACGATTTGTCTTGCATTGTTTTCGACATTGGTACCAAGAGATGACTGCAGAAAGCAGCGGGCAAACTACTGACATTGAATTTGCCTAGAAAAGCCAAAAAATTATTGTGTCTGTTCTGCAACATCCTTTAAAGGATATGCAACTAACTTAACAAAACACTAAATAAAAACAATAAGAGTGGAAATATGGCTTCTGAAGAAAATGCTAATAATATTTTGAACTAAAGGAAAAATTAAAACCATAAAGTGATTACAGAAATTATGTGTAGACAGTTAAGTTTTTGTGAGTTGTGGATATAAATGAACTTGAAAACTTAGTGAGAACCGGAAAACTTGATAGGACATAAGCAAGGAAAAGACAAACAGATAAAAACCTTGATGTCCTAGCCACACAGCATAAGTTGGACAAGAGCACAGACCTAGTCTGTAGCGTGCTTCAAAAATCTTGCCCTCACACATAAACAAATATCTCAAAAACTCCTGTGCGGATCAACACATATTTTTGTATATGCCTTAGATTTCCTATGTGATTATGATTTTATAATTTACAATTGCACAGGTGCTGATGTTTTCTTAAAGCGGTGACTTTCTTTGATCTGTGTTTGACTAATAGTATTTACAGTAATTGACACACACATGGAGATTGTTTGGAAATCAGTTCACATGTACAGCAATGCCTGGGGGTTATTTTGATAGCCTATCCGGCATGCGATTAAACAGCCTTAAAAAGTCTATGGTTACCAACCAGCTAGGAGATGAAAATTAGAATTCTGAGAGCATGCATCTTTCCTGTAGCAACATACAGATGTGAGTCATGGACTGTCTCCCAGTCCTTGAGAAAAACAATGGGGGCTTTTGAGCTAATATGCTATAGAAAGATTCTCAGAATAGCTTAGACAAAGAAGACGAGAAATACTGACATCTTGAAAGATTTGAACATCAAGTAAGATTGGCTAATAAACAGCATCCTGTCTCAGAAGCTGAAATATTTTGGTCATATCGAGCGCAACGGCGAATTGGAAAAAATAATAACAGAACGCATGGTACCAGGAAGGAGGGGCAGGGGCCTGACCTACGCGAAGATGGGCACAGGATATAAGTGACTCCTTGAGTATGAAAGTACATGAGGTGGAAGAACTGGCGAGAGACTGAGTTTCTTTCAGGCAGACCGTGATGAGAGCGTTGATCTGTAAAGGACCTGCTACATGATGATAATGATCTGGCATGGAATAAACAATCCACAACTCACGGGAGACTAATGCTGGAGATGACCACCTGAGAGGGAAATGCTTATCACATGCATGCAGTCTGATGTTTTGCAAAATTCCCGTTACTCAATTAACTGTAAGCACACTGGTTGTTGGCTTTGAATCGGTGCCTGTTTTTTCATTTGCAGCGAATAAGGCAAAATGAAAACTAGATGTTTTGTTTATATTTAAAAAAAGAAATATTACAAGGACATGCTTCGAGCAGAATGGCAAGCTTCATTGGAAAGGTCACGGGTAGTGAGCATTCTTTGGATCTTTTCTCCAGGCTATGCCGGCGTGGTGGGTAATGAACAGTGGATCTGCACCACTGGGGGATGAATTGATACAGGACAATTGATACAGGACAAGGCAGATGTGGTCAAGTCTCTTTGGGAACAAGTAACACAATCAGTAGAGAAAGAAGATTATTATGGCCTGAAGAGAATGAGGCACCTTGGTGTAACCAGAGGGTCTGGCCAGCTGACTACACTTAGATGAAAGGCAAGATGGACATTTAACCAGATTGTGACCGGTACCAACAGTATTGGCTGATGAAGATGAGGACGGAGCATGCATGGGAATGCCCTGAATGCTGTGATGTCAATTCTTGACTCAACTCTACAAGGACATGACTATTAACAGGTTGCATGCCACATCTCAACAACCTTCACCAAAAGGTTACTGAATTGCAGATTTTCAAAGTTAGGGAGCATTATTTCTGAAAGTTAGACTGCATCAGCCTGAGAGGCAAGGAAGCAGCCGTCTGCATACAAATGAGTCAGATCTGTAAATTGGATGCACACGCAAACTCAGGTTCTGGAACAGGACTGCAATCCAGAAGTGGATGAACAGCCAGAACTTTCTGCCAGAGTTTACAGCTGGTGAACGCAAAAAAAAAGAAGATGAAGACTTTTAGAATGTACTATAAGACTCTTCATGTGTAGGTTGACTGATTCTTAAAAGGGCACAAGCCAACAATAATTGGGAAATGCTGCACTAAAATAAGGCAGATGATTGATTAGGATAAGCCCGCTTTTAAGTATGAGTTTAAACGGGAAGTAAATCATTATTACCTTAACCTTTTACAGGCAAATGATGAGAATATATCATGTTCTACATAACTTTATAGTAAAAGAATATCTTTCATAAAAAACAAATACTCTTCTCTTTCAGGGACAAATGAAGAGGACAAGCCGACAACATCTGCAAGTAAAAGTGAGGAAGTTTTGTCAACATTTTTACTGTAAAATCTCTCCCTGTGTGTTTTTTTTTTTTGCGGAAAAATAATAAACCCACTGCTGCCATGTTGTTAAAGATGACTAATTAGGGATTTGCTGACACCGGATGTGTTTGGCCAAAAGGTGCAGATATCACAGCCTAGCTGTACACCATAACAGAAGAACTTCTTCTTCTTCTTCTTCTTCACCGGCTGTGAATTCCGGCGGTAAGTCGCGGTTGTTCGTCCAAATGGACTTTTGGCTTTTACCTTGACCTGAGTTTTGTGTGTACATCCGTTTTACTGTCTTATTTGTTTGCAGTCCTCGTTCTCTGCCTCACCGGCAGATGTACTCCGACTTCGAGGGAAGACGTCAAGCCTATTTCTAGGTTGACTGTGGCCATTGTTTTGTGTGGGTCGAGATGTTGCCTCATTTGTGTGGTGTCCTCTTTGACCTTTAACAGGTGTGGCCCCCGGAATATCCTCCTTAAGGAGGGCTCACCCAAGGAATCGTCACGTCCTGCCCATGACTGCTTAACAGAAGAACTGTAACAGATTTATAATGAACAGTTACTTTACTTTTCCAGGAGTAAATGATGGGTACTATCTGCCACAGCGAGCCACACTAAAACGTTACAACCGGGTATAGAGCGAGTGAAAGACCTCGGAAAAGATGGAGGCATGGCATTGAGAACAGCGTTACAGAAAAAGACATCAGCTCTTGGCAGAGCTCATCAATAAATGTTACATCTCCCCCTGACACTTCAATGAGGTACAAGGTGGAAGAGAAGAAGAAGCAATGATGATGAGGACACATGAGCATCTGTGAGCCTCAGTGAGAAGGCTTTATCCCCTTATAACTTATCTTTTAGCATAAACAGTTTACTAATTCAAAGGCAGTTGGTGAGGATATATCAGCATCATTTGTGCATAGAAGTGATGCCATTTGATACTTATTTGTATGCTTTATGTTAAACAGATGCTCTGCCTTTCAGAGACAAATGAAGAAGACAAGCCAGCGACATCTGTGAGCACAAGCGAGAAATATCTTTCTAGCTACATGCCGTGCTCGACTGAAAATCACTGCTGTGCTCTGCTACATGGGCTGCAGGAGCTGCGCAAGTCCAGGACACTGTGTGACTACACCTTGATTGCAGATGGGCAGGTAGGATCTGTGAAGATCAGTTATCTTCCCATTTGGTATTGTCTGTTTATTTTAAGATCTGTTATTTTCCTAATTGTGGTTGTCTGTTTATTTTGAGATTAGTCATCTGCACATTTTGGGTTGTTTATTTATTTTAAGATCAGCTATCTTTCCATATGTGGCTGTCTGTTTATTTTAAGATCAGTTATCTTTCCATTTGTGGTTGTCTGTTTATTGTAAGATCGGTTATCTTCCATACATGGTTATCTGTTTATTTTAAGATAATCTTCCCATATTTCAGGACTTGGCTGTCACTTGCACATCTGCTTTACAGGTCTAGCTTATTTGTATGCAGACTGTTAGTGCCCTGCCTCTGAATCAAATATATTATGACTTCCAAGGAAGCATTAATGATATTTATGTTGGCCAGGTCCCCAGTAGAAAACCTGCTTCTGGAATAAATCCAGTGAACAATGACTGAAAAGCTTAACAAAATGGGGAAGCAGAATAACGTGTACAAAACAACACAGATGGATGTTTCGGCGCTGGGCCTTTCTCGGCCTGAACTGAACTAAACAGCCATAACAAGAGGAGAAGACTCTAACCACTTAGGGGTCAAGTAAGAAACTAGAAAAGAGTACTCATGTAACCTTGTGCAACTAAAACAAAAAATAAACTAAACATGTATGGTGACAAATAATAACTTGGGTCAGGCGCAGTCGATGTGAGAATTCAAAAAGTGGTAAAAATAGGGGTGACTTCTAAAAAAAACATGGCGAAATTTATAGACAGGTCTTGACTAGTTTGTGCCCTGGTCCCTGTGTTCCGCCACCACATGTGCATCAGCACTTTTGCATCCCAATTTTATAACAGTACACTAGTACCTCGACTTACAAACCGCTCTACATACACACTTTTCGAGGTACTTTTTCATATCCCGTTTTGACCTCTACATACAAACCTAGATTTGAGATACAAGTCTTTAAACAGCAGAAAGTTAACAGACACAAATTCAGCTTTATGTGGAAAAGTACAGCAGAGCCTGAGTAACAAAGCAGTTCTGAGAATTGATTGATTTTCCTAATGGGAAATTGGGTTTCGAGATATGAACTATTCAAGATGCGAACCGCAGTCGGGAATGAATTAAGTTTGTTGGTCAAGGTACTATTGCATTCTGAAGTTGTTTCCTCTCTATCTATGAAGTATCCTTGTGCACCGTGCAGTAATGGCAGCATGCAGCGATTACTTCAGAGTTAGTCAAGGTACCATGGCATTCTGAAGTTGTTTCCTCTCTATCTGTAGAGTATCCCTGTGCACCGTGCAGTAATGACAGCATGCAGTGATTACTTCAGAGTTAGTCAAGGCACCATGGCATTCTGATGTTGTTTCCTCTCTATCTGTAGAGTATCCCTGTGCACCGTGCAGTAATGGCAGCATGCAGCGATTACTTCAGAGTCATGTTGACTGGCTTCATGAGAGAAAGCCGAGAAGAGTTTGTGGAACTGAAGGGGGTAACAGCTGGTGGTTTGACCGTTGTAGTGGACTTTGCTTACACCGGGCGGCTGGAGCTGACCACAGACAATGTAGAGGAAGTTCTGTCGGCAGCCTCACATCTTCAGGTATTTACAGTGGTAGACTCCCTCTGTCTTTCTCATTCTGTATGCCTGTCTAGTCTTCCTGACCCTCACTCTCCCTCCCTCACTCTTTTGATGCCTCACTGTATCTCTCTCTCTCTCAAAGCTGAATACAAGATGGGCCTGAGTGCCCAGTTAGTGACTGTGATAAATAATTTTCAGCAGCTTCACTCCAAGCATCGATTCTGGGTTCCCCCTATGAGAAGAAAAAAAGAGTAGACTTGTTGCCTCCACAAGCGTGTCATAAGTGTCGACTGATTAGGGGTTTCCTTCGAAGTCGGAGTGCATCTGCCTGAGAAGCAAGGAACCAGCAGTCTCATACAAATAAGACAGATCTGTAAAACATACATGCACACAAAACTCAAGTTCTGTAACAAAGCTGAAGTACATGAACAACCAGAACTTTCCCCCCGTTCACAGCCAGTGAATGCCAAGAAGAAAAAGAAGAAACTTTACATGTTCAGGTATTAACAGGAATACACCAGTTGTAGACTTGCTCTTTCTGTATCTGGTCTTCCTCCCTCTCTCTTTCCATCCTTCTTTCTGCCTCCCTGAATGCAGGATGCACTTGTGTACCCAGCTAATGACCCTTTGAAAATAAAGTTATCAGCAGCTTAACATGTTTAGGTGTTAACAGGAGTACACCAATTGTAGTCGCTCACTCTCCTGGCACCCCCCCCCCCCCTCTTCCCAATTCTCACTCTGAGTTTATCTGTCTCTCTTTCACTTCCCCACCCTTTTCTGTATATATTTCCCTTTCTTACATCTTCTTTCTCTTTCTCTCCATCTTCCTCCTTCCCTTTTCTCAGATTCTCTTCCTTTTCTTTCTTTCTATCTGTGTAAGTGTTTGTCTCTTTCTTTTCCACCTTTTCTCTCCCTTTCCATTTTATCTCTCTCTCTCTTTCTCTCTCTCTGTTCTCTTTGTCTGCCTGTCTCTGTCTCTTCATCTCCCAATGAACTGTAGGCCCTCAGCAACCTCACCCCAGGTCCTTTGTAGAATTGTTGATGAATAGTTGTGTTTAACAACTACATTTGTCTGCAGAATGAGATAGACAGTGTAGAATGAGATAGACAGTGCAGAATGAGATAGACAGTGCAGAATGAGATAGACAGTGTAGAATGAGATAGACAGTGTAAAACTAATGTTTCTTCGTTGCCTTTTATGAGAAGTTGATTCTTCGCTGGCTACTGAGGGAAAAGATGAAGCACTTGTTGGATTGTCCTGAGAGCAATGATTTCAATTCTTGATTGGTTCATACTTTATTTGCCAGGTTATGTCCCATCCTTGTATGGATCTGCAGTAGATAAATTGTTCTTTAGGTGAACTGGCTGGCTCTGCACCACTTGGTGGTGAATTGATGTATGACAAGTTAGATATTGGGAGGGCCCTTTGGGAGCACTGAGAAAGCGCAGATAGATCATTATGGTTTAAAGAGAATGACGCTGCGAGGAGTTCAGGGGATCTGGCCGAGGCTCAGCACTCAGGGGAGGGATGAGACGGATATACAATCAGACTGCTAATGCTGCTGTCAGAATTGGAACTCTTTGCTTGCTGCTGAAGATGGGAACTGAGCACTTATGAGAGTGTTCTGAGTGCTGTGATATCGACTCTTAATTCAATATTTAACATTCCTCAGGTGAGTGTCGCTGTAGAACTTTGCAGCAAGTACTTGGAAATGGCCCTGACAATCTACAACTGTACAGACATCCTCAACCTGGCACAGATGTACTCCCTCATACCTACCCAGACTAAAGCACTGCAGTACATGATGGACAACTTTGAGGTATGACTAGTTGTTGAGGGTACAAGTAGAAAAACATTTTTTTTTTACATTCCATAAAACTCCTCACAGTTTGGTGAAATAGTGTTACACCATTTATTTACATAAGGTCTGTGTTAGCCCATGTTCATACCATTAAATTATCTAAATGGACCATAAACATACCATTGTAGTATCTTCATGGTACTGTGTTGGATCATATTCATACCATTAAAGTATCTTCATGGACCATAAACATACCATTGTAGTATCTTCATGGTACATTAGTTAGTTAGTTAGTTATTCCTCTTGTGCCAAAGATGGCGCATAGGGCAGAGGTCATAGCTTTCCACGTCTGTCGGTTCGTTGCCACTTGATGTAGGTCTTGAGTGCGACTGAGACCTATGGTTGAGCTCTCCCTTGTGATGGTTCTACGGAGAGTTTCTTTTGGTCTTCCCTGTTTTCTTTTACCCTCTGGTGACCATATGAAGGCTTGGTGGGGAAAGTCTCTGTATGTCCATTTTGAGTACGTGACCGATGTAATTCCAGCGACGCATTCTAATAAAATCAGACACATATTTTTGTTTTGTTTCCTGTCTTATAGATGTATTGGACCTAAAGTCCGACCAGTGAACATTCAATAGCTTTCGGAGGCATCTATTCTCGAAAGCGACTAGTTTCTTATCGATTGATACTGATGATTTCCAACTCTCACAACCATAAGTTAGCACTGGGATCACACAGGAATTGAAGACCTTAAGTTTCGTGTTGTTGCTGAGTGATCTTGACTTCCAAATGTTTGACAGTTTGTTAAAGGCACTTGATGCTAACGCGACATGGTACATTGCTGGATCATATTCATACCATTAAAGTATCTTCATGGACCATAAACATACCATTGTAGTATCTTCATGGTACTGTGCTGGATCATATTCATGCCATTAAAGTATCTTCATGATACAGTGAGCCCATATTCATACCATTAAATTGTCTTCATGATACAGTGTGAGCCCATATTCATACCATTAAATTGTCTTCATGATACAGTGTGAGCCCATATTCATACCATTAAATTGACTTCATGATACACTGTGAGCCATTATTCATACCATTAAATTGTCTTCATGAGACCGAGAGCGCATATTCATACCATTAAATTGTCTTCATGATACAGTGTGAGCCCATATTCATACCATTAAGGTGAGCCCTTATTCATATCATTAGAGTTTGTTCATGAAAGAAAGGCAAGATAGACAAAATCTGGTAACCTTTGAGCCTATTCTTTGTTTTTTATTTTTATTTTTTTGTTTTTAAATATACTTTTTTTAAAATGAAACCCCGTTTTTAAAATGTGTATCCCATTTTACACCATGCTTTTATAATTTAATCTCTGTAAATGTATATTTACCCTGTTGCAGATAGTCAGCTCCTCTGAACAGTTCACCAAGCTGACACACACTCAGCTGGCAACCATGATCCAGGACAACAGCCTGAGGGTGCCGTCTGAGTATCGGCTGTTTACAATAGTCCTGCAGTGGATAGACCACGACAAGGCTGAGAGAGAGCAGTATATTGCAGAGTTGATAAGGAACATAAGACTTCCCTTGTTGGCTGGGGAAGAGTTGGTGGAGAAGGTGAGACTGTAGCTTCTGTTAGGCTGTCACTATGTCACTGAGATTAACAACATCCTTCTTCTTCTTAGTGTTTTTAGTGTCCATCGGATGTAAACTTCAGCTAAAAATTCTGGTTGCGCATCCAGTTCTAGACTTCCGTCTTGTTGCAGAAATTGAGTTTTACATTTTACTGATCTGCTTACTTGTGTGCAGACTGTTGGTTTTTTCATCTCTCAGTTAGATGTGCTGTGACTTCAGAGAAAAAATCCCTACTTAGCTGCCTTTTACAACATGCTTGAAGAGGAGTCAGTGGTTCCATTCACAACTTTGTGTGATTTGAAGGTCAACTTCACCTCAGTAAATGGGTAAATGAGATGCAGTAAAATATTTAAATAGTCATCATCAGATAATATGTTGGCCCATTCAGCAATTGCTTATTCATTGTTCTTTGTTTCTTCTTTTGTCCATACTTTGCTTTGTGCCGCCAGGCGTCACAGGTTAACTGTTGAGTTGAGGTGAGTCAAGAACTGACATCACAGCACTCGTGGCATTCCCATGTGTGGTCCGTCCTCATCTTCAGCAGCCAGTGCAGAGTTCCAATACTGATGGTACCGGTTAAAATCTAGTTATATGACCATCTTGCCTTGCCTCTGAGTGTAGTGAGCCGACCACACCCTCTGGTTACACCCAGGTGCCTCATTCTCTCCAGAAGGTTAAGAGATAATCTGTCTCTGAGCTAGGGCCGGCTTGGTTGCCTGGTATGCTGTAATGTTGAAGAGTCTCAAGATATCAGTGACTCCTTCAGTCCATCTTCTTCTCAGCTGTTCCCTACCCCTTAGTGTTTCCACTTTCATATTGGACGCTCTCGTTTCTGTCATCACTGGATCTATTCTCATTTAATGGCCAAACAATATCAATCTTTGTTTTTCATTGAATTCGGTTACACACAAACCGTCATTAGTATGATCATGTATCTGAGTTATCCAGCAGTATACTTACTGATGGGAGTCACAGTGGCCTAGTGGCTAGAAGCTCGACTGCCAGCATGAAGGTCTTAAGTTTAAATTTGTGTAAAAATTGATTTATTAAAAAAATTATTGGTTTTCATGCCTGCGCAGAAATTTTGGAGGTCAGTATATAAATACATTAACTAACATTACCATTTAACTCAGTGACAGAGATCACTGCATGAGTCACAGAATACATGTTTTTATAAAAAAAAATTTTTTAATGCTCCAGGGGATGTAATCCATTGAATGCCTCACTGTGCTCATGTTTATTGATTACTCCTTTTTAATACTTTGTATATTTTAAGAAACAAAAAATTGCAAATGTAGATAAATACATTTTTTAATGAATTTATTAGTCAACTAATAACGGGCTATTCCTAACGGGCTCATTACCTTTTTTTTAATTCCGTAAAACATAGGGCTTGAGAACAGCTGTGAATTCCATAACACATAGTGTTTGAGAATAAGCTGTGCATTCCATAACACATAAGGCTTGAGAAGTAGCTGTGGATTCCTAAACATATAGAGTTTGAAAACCAGCTGTGAATTCTTAAACACATAGAGCTTGACTACCAACTGTGAATTTTTAACCATATAGGGCTGGTGGAAAAACAAGCTGTGAATTCTAAACGCACAGTTCTTGAGAACCAGCTATGAATTCCTAAACACACAGTTATAGAGATTTAGCTGTGAATTCTAACACGCAGTTCTTGAGAACCAGCTGTGAATTCCACAAACTAATACTCAGAATTAATTGAACCTATTTTGTAATATTTATTTTTAAAAAAAATTTTTTTTAATTAATATTTTCTCAGGTGAGCAAAGTGGAAATGATGAGAACCAACCAGGAGTGCAGCGACCTGCTGACAGAGGCCAAAGATTACCACATAGTCACCAGCAAACAGCCGATGCTACAAACCAGTCGGACACAGGTCCGGTCGAACCACCCGAGCATAATCATGTCTCACGCCCAGAACCTGGAATGCTACACCTTTCACAACAAGCACCATGGCTTTCTGCGAGATTCCCTCATCCCCCTGTTCAACCCCAGTGTGGCGGTGCTGGACAACTTCATGTATGCTTGTGGGGGTAAATACGACAGCACAGAGAACAATGAGATTGCAACTGCACGCTGCTTTCGGTTTGATCCTAGGTTAGTTGTTGTTTCTTCTTATTTTTTATCATAGCAGTTAGGATTTGTTAACTCTTTCAGTCCCAGACAACGCTTAGTGTGTGTGGGGATCATCTTTGTGTGTCATAACCAATGAATAATGTGTTTCTATTAATAGCTGCAAAGGCATCATTTTATGAAATCAAGAATGTTTTATGCAATCTTTCTTTGTCAGTTGAGACGAGAAAGAGAATTCCTAAAAGTTGTATAAATCCTTTCTTAATTAATAGAAGTGAATCCTGGACAGTTGTTGGTAAATTAGTGAAAACTTATTTGGAAGCTGCAGAAATGTGGTTTTATAGAGGAAGGATGAGAAAACACTGGACAGATAAAAAGAGTAATGGGTATGTCTTGAGAAAAACAGACTCATGAAGAGAACTGATTGCCCACATCAAAAAGAGACAATCTACATTCTTTGGTCATGTGATTAGAAGGAGAACACTGGAGTACATCATGACAGAAAGACAGTTGGAAGGGAGGAGAGGCAGAGGGAGACCAAGAGAAAAGATACTGCACGGTTTAACATCATGGCATGGAGGTTCATCTGTGTCAGAGTTTATTGAAAGTAAACGAGACAGAAGGTTGTTGATAGACGTGACTACCGACACCACATGGCATAGACTTTAAGAAGAAGATTAATATTTTACATTTGATCATACCAGACACCAGAAATCTGGCCACCAAGGTGGCCACTCCATTGTGTTTAATCTCTGTCTAGCTTTCATAATTTTTGTCCCACTTGGGGATGAGCTGCCAAATATTCTGAAGCTGAAAGAGTTCAACAAACGAAATAAAAAAACACAAACAAGAGATGGCTGAGTTTATTACCTGACATTTTTTTCACAAATGAATCTTTAAACCAAAATCCAAATACACATCACACTCAAATCTAACTGCCTGTTTTACTATTTTACCAGGGTAAATGCAACTTGACAACCAGATTTTTTGTCTGCACAATAACAACTAATCTTCTTCATTGCACACCTCTAGGCACCACCCTGAATAAATGTAAAGAAAGCAGCAGTGTGCTTGAGGTCGCTGACATCTCTTTATAGTTTATCTTGTAGTGATTGGTTTATTGGTTTCTTCAGCGTATCAGCATCATGGCATACGGTGGTAACCCATAAGTCTGAGTTTAAAGCAACTCAGCGCAGTGCACGAACCGGTGAGGATCCTGAAATACTTAGGTTAGATTTTTGACTAAAGTTTTTGCCCGGGCCGCGCCGTTAGGCTACTCTTTTCGATTTCCAATTACCAAGGGATTTTTTGCATGTGCAACAATACACACGGGCGTCTGATCGTACTATTCAGAGACCAGGGAAAATTACTAGAAGTCCACGTGAAAAAATCCCAGCCTTAACCGGGACTTGAACCCGGGACTCCAGGTGGATACCATGCCTCGAGACCACCCAGCTCCCTTCTTGGCGTGAGTGTGAGCTGAAATAATTTTCTACGTTCAGCATGTGTAGGACACTTGCAGGAAATATTTAGCCATTGTTTTACCAATTCCACGATTAGGTTCATTAGTGTATCCTATCTTTAACTTATTGAATAACTAACATTTCAGCCTGTACAGAGTCTCAAGATCGCTACTCGATCAATTCGGTCAAGTTGGTAGTATATATACATCCTATTTTTATTAATCCTGTTTTTATTAGCTTGTCTGCGTAAATTTTTCTGTGTTTCTGTAACACATTTTATGGAAATCATATCTGAGGAGTGCTTTTTCTGATTTTAAAAAAAAAAGTGACAACACAGAATTTGTGTGTTTTCCTTGTGGGTTCCGGGCCGCCATTATGGGTCAACAGGAATAGACCCACTGCCTCCCTAACAAGTATGTCTTAAGAGTTGATTAATTAGGGATGTCCTTCAAACCAGTAGTCTACATCCAAGTAAACCAGATCTTTAAAAATGATAAATGGTTGTGCACACAACACTTAAGTTCTGGAGCAAGACTTAAATGTGGACGAACAACCAGAATTTTTCGCCCGAGTTTACGGCTGGTTAGCGAACAGAAGAATAATAATTTATGCATGGAATAGAAAAAGTATTTGACGTATTTAAAAAAAGATGTTGTCTCTTTATTCTAACGTATTTATTCCCTGTGTGCAGGTTTGATTCTTGGTATGAGCTGCCATCTATGAATGAGGCTAGGAAAGATTTTGTTGTTGTTGCATATAAAGGCAAATTGTACGCAGTCGGAGGACAAGATGAAAACATGGTGATGTGCACTGTTGAGTGTTACTCTGTTGCCACTGAGGAGTGGGACATTTGTGCATCAATAAGGTATGTTACTTTTACTAATAAACTATAAACATTTGAAACCCAGACAGTGCAGGATATGTGAATCAATTTGTCTGCTGAATCCCCTGCCTAGCTTAATATATTGTTACTTTTTGTATTTGGTCAGAACACTCTCAAGAAATCTGGAATGCACTGATAAATTGTAATTAAAAAAATGCATGTGTGAATCACTATTATCTGCTGAATCCCCTCCCAAGCTTAATATGTTCTCTTACTTTTTTGTATTTGGTCAGAATGCACTCAAGAAATCTGGCTTGTCCAGTAGTTACCAGTACTGTTATATTGTTTTGAAAGTAGTGCGCTGGTGAGTTTTAATCATGAATGTAGCTTTATTGGCATCTCCCACCAAACCTTATTCTAGTACCAAACGAGTTCACTGTTGCCTGAGCAGAATAGAGGCAATTAAATGGGTTGACATAATCACTAATGTAGGGCTTTGGGAGAGAATTAAATTTCCAGTAAATCAAGAGATGTGAATCAAGATATTCAAAGCAGTGTTTCCCTGTTGTGAATTTGAAAATAGAAGAAACAAACTACAGTAGATTTGCGTATATTGCATGTTGGTTGGGACTCAAGAGGGAAGAGCTTTTCACACAGAATATGTTATTTGGACTGAAAGAGTTGACTATGCATATTTCAATAGTTTATGTTCATACCATTATGAGGTTCTTGGGATGATAATGTGCTTTCCACATTCAAATGGCTTTAAGACTATGTCCTTAGCCTTCAGAATCATTTCAGATTACTAGGGCAAGTGAGTGCCCTGCTCTGTGATGCTCCTGCTAACAGCATGGGATACCCCAGAATTGTCCACTATCCTGGTGGATGCTCGGAAGCTGAAATATTCTGGTTATATCAAGTACTATGGAGGATTGAAAAAAATAATAGCAGAAGGCATGGTACCAGGAAGGAGGGGCAGAGTCCAACTAACATGAAGATAGGCAGGAGAAAAGTAACTCCTTGAATATGAAAGTACACGAGGCAGGAGAGCTGGCGAGAGACCGAGTTTCTATCAGGCAGACCGTGATGAAAGCGACGTTCTGCAAAAGACCTGCTACATGATGATGATGTACATACCAATAGTAATTTACTTTCTTTGAGGACCACCTAGTGTCTTTTTTAGTGTTTGCCGGCTGTAAACTCAGCGGAAAGTTCTGGTAGTTCATCCACTTCTGGACTTAGGTTTTGTGCCCTATTTTTTGGGGGGGGGGGGAAGAATAGACACACTGCCACGCTAACAAGCATTTGTAAAAAAAAAAAGATAATGAGATGTGGAGAAACAGGGTCAAGTAAACCAGTTAGCAAGGCACTTGACGGATTATAGTATTTGTTGTTAATTCCTGAAAGTCATTCCGTTCACCTTATTCTGTTAATTGTATATTTTGCAGTCATTCTTGCTATGGTCACACTGGGGCAGTGTGCAATGATAAAATTTACATCTCCGGGGGTCAGAGGTTTTCAGGCTGTGCCAACAACATGAGCTGCTACAGCCCAGAGTTGAATGTCTGGGAGGAGAAGGCTCCCATGCTCCAAGGGAGATGTAACCATGTGATGATGGAGGTAAGCACTCCGTTTGGAGCCACACTCAATGTCACATGGTTCTTGTTATATATGTTCATTATATATCCATAGACTGTAATGGTTGGGGCATATCGAGAGAATGTCAGATGACAGAGAAGTGGAAACTGTATACAGAAGGGAGATGAATGGTAGTTGACCACAAGGCAGACCAAGAAGACGATGGAGAGAATGTTCAGAGAGGCCTGCAAACACTTGGTGTCATTAACTGGAAAGAGAATGCCAACCAGAGAGATGAATGAAGGCGGGCGATATCTCCAGTAATGAACCTCAAGGGCTCAGAATGCTGAAGAAGAAGAAAAAGATATATACATATAACTCGTCATCATCATGTGCCAACTCAAGCCGAGCTGTCCTATCCTTGCTTTTGCATGCAGCTCACCCCATCTTTCTCATTTCACTCTCTGGTTCTCTTCTCCATCTGTTTTTTGAGTCTGTTTCTACTTCTTTGGGTTCCGATGCAAAACATTCTCGTTATATCAAGTTTTCTCAACACTTATCCTATCCAGCACCAGCGCCTGTTCTTCTCTATTGAATCGCTAGAATTTGTTTAGTTCTCTCCTAAAACTCTTCTTCTTCATCTTCATTCGTAAATGTATTGTGCATGATTTCATCTGATATATGACACTTTGGACATTTCTTTCTCCGGGTTAGTCTTCGCAGTTAGTTTTGTGGGACATTTTGCTGTCCAGTGCAGCTGCCTGCATGCGGTCTGGTTGGCTTTCAAGGGAAGATAGGGGTAGAACATGGGCATCCCCCACCCAAAAAGGCTTCCATTAATGTAAAGTCAATTATCTCCAGAAGCTCTTCATTAGTGATTCTGTCATCATAATTACCACCACCACCATTTAATTGCTTCTGTCATGTGTAGAATCCAGGTAATGAATGTTTGTAGTTTATTGGTAGTTTTAGTTCTCCATATTTGAACTTCATACAACAGAATTGTATGAATATTGTGCATGTTGAAAATTCCTCAACAGTTGAAAGTCCAAAAGAGTCGGTGAAGAAATAGCTGAGCTGCGCAGGCTACATTTAACCCTTTAGCCCCAGAAACATCTTCTTTATTTTAAATTTTTAAAAGTGATGGGGGGGGGGTATTAGGAATTTATGACAAATTCTTTTTAGAAATACAACCATTTGACAACTGTCACTAGTGAATGTTTTAAAAATCTACACACGTGAGCGTGAGCACGCATATTATTCCCGTGTGGGTGCCGGGCCCCATTCGGGGCGGGGTTGGGGGTAAACCCACTGCCCCCTAACAAGCATTTTGTAGGAGGCAGCTTACTTACTAGTGATGTTTCTTTTGAAGACGGCTGCCTTGACTACCAGCTTGACCCAGCCTTGAGTGGGTACCGGGTTCAGTCCCAGGAAGTAATGGCGGCCGGCGCGATGCTGACCATATCACAGTCTTGGTCTATAAAAATATAGGTCTAGCCATAAATGCCCCATACGCCTAAAGGCGTGAAAACGGGACCTTGAAAAAAAAACATTTACCACTAACCACATCTGCATTTTTCTAACATAATATCTTGTTTCTCTAGTGATTTTTTTTTCTAATATAATGTCTTGTTTCTCTAGTGATTTTTTTCTAACATAATACCTTGTTTCTCTAGTGATTTTTTTTCCTAATATAATGTCTTGTTTCTCTAGTGATTTTTTTCTAACATAATACCTTGTTTCTCTAGTGATTTTTTTCTAACATAATGTCTTGTTTCTCTAGTGATTTTTTTCTAACATAATACCTTGTTTCTCTAGTGATTTTTTTCTAACATAATACCTTGTTTCTCTAGTGATTTTTTTTTTCTAATATAATGTCTAGTTTCTTTAATAAATTATTTATTATTCTGTAAATCTAATTCCCTAATGAATTATTTCTATTGCTAATATAGTATCAAAATTTGAATTTTGAGAGCATGCATCTTCCCTGTAGCAACATACAGATGTGAGTCATAGACTATCTCCCAGCCCTTAAGAAAGAGAATAGTGGCTTTTGTGCTGAAATGCTATAGAAAGATTCTCAGAAAATTTCGGACAAAGAAGAGGAGAAATACTGACATCTTGAAAGATCTGAACATCAAGGAAGATTGGCTAATAAACAGCATCCTGTCTGGGAAGCTGAAATATTTTGGTCATATCAAGCGCCACGACGGATTAGAAAAAAATTATAGCAGAAGGTATGATACCAGGAAGGAGGGGCAGGGGCCGACCGACTTGAAGATGGGCACATGATATAAGTGACTCCTTGAGTATGAAAGTGTATGAGGCAGGAGAGCTAGCGAGAGACCGGGTTTCTTTCAGGCAGACCGTGATGAGAGCGATGTTCTGCAAAGGACCTGCTACATGATGATGATGATGAATATAGTATCTGAAGTCTCTTTTGAATTATTTATTTTTCTAATAAAATGTTTAGTTTCTTTAGTGAGTTATTTTTTCTGTATGTCTGATTTCTTATATGAATTCTTCTATTGCTAACATATATCTGAATTTCCTAATGAATTGTTTAAATTGCTAACATCATATCTGATTTGTCTAATGAATTGGGTGTTTTTTTTTTTCTGACTTATTTAATTTTTCTAGTGAATTATTCCTCATCTAAGGTAATGTCTGATGTCTCTAATGAATTGTTTCTTTTCCTAACATTATGTATTATTTCTCAAATGAGTTGTTTAGTTTGCTAATATAATGTCTAGTTTCTTTAATGAACTATTTTGTTTCTGTATACCTGATTTCTGGAATGAATTGTTTCTATTACTAACATATATCTGCTTTCTCAAATTAATTATTTATAGTGCTAACAACATATGTGATTTCTCTAATATATTCTTCTATTGTAACATATAACTGATTTGTCTAATGAATGATTTTTTTTTTAAAAACATATCTCATTTCTCTCTAATTTTTTCTTGTCCTCAAGGTGCGAGGCAAGCTGTATGTGATTGGTGGCAACATCGAGGACAGCTATGGTTTTCCAGTGCCCATCATTGCCATGGAGTTCTTCACCCCAGAGACTGACCAGTGGTCCATTTGCAAAACAACCTGCAACATCAGAGAAGCCGGAGCCTGCACACTACACAACAAAATATACATTGTTGGCGGAATCAACGGAGAACATTATTTTTCCGACTTGTTACAAGAGTATGACCCAGAGAAGGATCAGATGACCGTCGTGGACCGGTTTCCCACCCGAGTCTACGGGAGAGCATGCTGTATTCTCACACTGCCTAACTACTTGTCTGGTATTGGCCCACATTGCTAGCGTCGGGACATTTAAAAGAGTTAACTCTTTCAGTCCGGTAATCTGGTAATCTGGACTCTTTCATTCCGGTTCAACGTGTGATGCTTAATAGACTTGTCCGCATGATCCCAGGCATTACTTAATGTGTTCACTCTAATTTTAATTTTTGTCAGGCTATACACAAATCTGGCTTCCCTGTTGGCCACTTCTGCTGCGCAATTTGCAAGTTTAACAGTTTTTGAAAGTTATGCATTTGTGGCTTTTTGTAGTGGTCATTGATTCCGTTGGGCATTTACTGATCGAACCCTGGGATTGAAGGAGTTAAAATGCAGTGAATGCAGGGAAAAACTTAGTCTAGTTAGACATGAGATATCAGAAGCATGTTGCAGCTAAACATACTCCATACATGGAGTTAAAGACCTTCACATATCCTGGGCCAGTGGTCAGCAAACTCATTAGTCAGAAGAGCCAAAAATCAGCTGTAGGACGATTAAAATTTTGTTGAGAGCCGAATTTCTTTTCAAGAACCATGTTTTTGGAGTCAAAACTGATTTGTAGCCGACTGGCCGAGCTGCACTCATGCGGCTCACGAGCTGCGATTTACAGACCACTGTCCAAGGCCATGGCATTTGAATTGAGGTGTTCACTTTTCTTCATCGTTAATTGTTCTTCTCTAAAATTGTCAGGTACCCAACTTCATGAGGCCGAGTTAACCCCCAGAACTGGTAGAAAATACCAGCAAACCCAAACCACTGTCGCGGCAGGCGAATGCACTAACAATTATGCCACCAGGGTTTATATCAGGGTCTCCCATAAGTTTCCGTACATAGAAACAAATAAAACTTTATCACCAACGTCATATGAGCATAACCCCAGCTGTGCTTATACTTGTTCTTCTGCAGTTAAGGACACACATCAAAATATGTTTTCAAAACAACAATATTTTTCTAAGGCATGGAAACGTGTTGGACACCCCACTACATCTAAACAATAATGTATTTACATATCTAAACAAAATTTCCTCTGTCGTTAGACTTTTCCTGTTAAACTTTTAAGTGACATATTAGGGAGAGCTTTCTCAGTAGGAAGTTTGTAGTTGCTACACATCTGTGGTTGCCACTGTTGATCAAGTCTTGAAGGGTCTGCCTCTTTCTCTGTTTTTGCTATATCTAAATTCTGCCACTGTGTCCTGTTTTAGGGTAGTCTTGTTTTTGCACAGCTTAGCTAAACCATCTGACTAGCAGTATTTCCTAAATTTAAAAAAAAAATCAATTTCATCAGCATAACATTGAGAAAAATGTACATTTTTAATAAACTGCAAACAGATTCTAGCACATCAAGAAGTGATGAAAAGAGGCCTTACTTGGTAAGACACACACTGAGAAAAGCTGATGAAAGTATTACTAGAATGTCTTTTCACTGGAACTCACGGAACAAAAGGTAGATAGAGCTTAAACAGACTTGGAGAAGAGAACATGAGGGTGACATGAAAAATATGTTAACGTCATAAAAGTAGCTGCAAACGTTTGTGGCTGGCTAGGCTTGAGCTAGATCTTCTTCTCCTTCTTCTTTTTCCTTGCGTTTACAGCTGTAAAAGTCTGGCAGAAAGCATTAGTTTTAGTTGTTAGTCCACTTCTTGAATCTTTTTCCTTGCGTTTACAGCTGTAAAAGTCTGGCAGAAAGCATTAGTTTTAGTTGTTAGTCCACTTCTTGAATCTTTTTCCTTGCGTTTACAGCTGTAAAA